CTGGTAAATCCCATTTATTCTAGTGCTCTTCACTTCTTTTTGATGCTGTTAACACTAGACTGAAAGAGAAAGAGGTGCTTTAAAAACCAGAGCCAACGTACCATATTAAAATCAATAATGTAAAAATGTGTAAAGATGGACTTGAGCATCACTTGAAAATAGCTTGAAGGGCAGATTTTTTCAGTCCTTTTGTCTGGACATGAAAATAGGTGGACTCTACCATTTCTCCAAATTTTTGTTTAGAACCATGGGCATTAGCAACTGTTGTATACAAGGAGGTCTTTTTTTGATTTCTGTATGACGATGAAGAATTGTGAGCAGATGTTAAGCATTTAAGTCAAACATCTGTAATATCCATTTTTATTCCTTTTTTTTAGCAAAGGGGATGGAGAAGCATGTTATTAAATAGAAATGCCACCCTCAACTCCATATTCTCCAAGAGCCTAATTTTGCTAGCTCCGCCAACCACTGAGGTGTGGAAAGCAAGTAATATTACAGTATGGAAACTTAAGGGAAGGGGCTCCACTTGAGCTTCATGCCTTCTCTCTCTAACAATCTGTCAATTTTTTTCTAAAGCAATTGGCAGTGAGTTTTATTGCTGCTCCCACCCCAGTTTTAATTGGACCTGAACTAGTTCCAGGATTTGGGAGGCAAAAGCTAGATGGAGGAGATTCTTTTTTGGTTTGTTTGATCAAAATATGACAGAAAGATGCCCAGTAGGTGGGAGAAGAGCGTCCTGACAATTTTGGAGTTTTTTTTCCCTTGGTCCCGAGAACATTTTCCCAATTCCACGACTTTATAAACTGTGGAAAAGTTGCTGCAAGTGAGGAAGTTTGCTGCATTGCTCTTGAGGGCATTTTGGAGAATGTGAGTTCGCACAAGTTTCTTCCCTACAGACACGCCTTCTGAAGTTCTTTTGAGGAAAGATTAAACAATCCCCGAAATCTTTTTGTTTTTTTGGGCAAGTCAAACAAATATAGGAAAAAACGACTTCTCTTCTCCCCCTTTTGCTAGTTGAAAACCAGTTGAAAGGCAAAAAAAAGTTTCAGGTTGTCAAACGTGCGTCTCCGATCATCTTTAAGTGGAAGAGACCGATTTGGGGGAAAAAAAGAAAAGAAAACCAAACCATTGGACTTTGAAAACAAAAGCAGAATGAACAAGCATACCTTTCAAAGCCTGAGGCGGAATTGCTGAAGAGTCATTAGATGGTCAACAATCCTCGTCTTCTTAATGCGGGAGAGGGGAGATGTCCTATGATCTGGTCTTGGTGTCGAAATTCCAACTTTCCTGGAGCTTTTCTTCCCAAAGAGCAACATCCAAGAGGTGGGGGAGAGCCCTCAGCCCCCCAAAACCAAACCAAAATAAACTGGTCCCCCCCCCAAAAAAACCCACAACCAACAGTAAACAGAGATCGCTCTAGCCTTTCACCAAATTCCCCAAATTTTCCACATCTTGATTTCACTCCTCCCCCCCTTTTTTCCTCCTCCTTTAAAAAAAACAACAAAACGCAAAGCAAACACCACGAAATAAAATCCAAACGGCGATAATATTTTTCTCAAAAGCTGTTATGAAAAAAGAGAGAGAGAGAGGCGACTCGGGGTGCCTGGTTGCCCACACGCACATCGACGCAGCAGCACGCGTTATAAATATGCGATTCTCCCGTCTGCAAGCCCCGGACCACCTTGAAGCAGGAAGTTTTGATTTTCTTTCAAAACTTTCCCGATGCTTTCTTGAGCTTTTGCACATGGAGCCAATCAGCCGCTCCGTCTGCGCTGCTGTCTTTTGAAGGAGGGCTTTGCTCGGGACCGCGCAGACTTGTCAGGAGGGAATGGGACCGAAAAAAAGAGTTTTTCGCCCTCAGACTTTCTCTCTCTCTCTCTCTCTCTCTCTCTATTTCCCCCCCCAAAAAAAAA